TACGCATACACATACACATATATACACATAAACACAAATATAGTAATACAAGATTAGTTCAACTCGACTGACCATAAATGTTTATAATGATCTTTTTATTTATCTATAAATACATAAATATGTATACATATCTATGTACTTATACATACGTGCACATACACAATAATTTATTATGAGTTTTCTCAGCATGGAAATCAGTGCCGATGGGTACCACACTAGGCCAAAAAATAAATTGTTTGTTTGCTCTCCTCAGCCGCCCCTAACTCACTGAAGATATAGGGGTGGCAAAACAAAACAAAAAATTTTTAAGCTTTTTTTTTTACAAATTAAAAAAATGTGAGTGAAATTATCTTATTATATTAAATGATTATATTTTTTGCCAGATAACCTACAAAGTTGTCTAAAGTTGTTGTCTGGCCTACATTTATTTGCAAAATGTCAACTGTGGGTTACCATATTTTTGTTTCTACCTGATGAATAATCTTAAAAAACAAAAAAAAAAAACTTTTTCCACCCGCCCCATTATATCATTAAAAAAAAAAGAAGGCAAAAAAAACTTTTTTAGGTCTTATGTGCAGCAATAAAATTAAATGCACTGCACTGCAGATCAGTGGATGATTCAAAGTTTGGGGGTGGGGGGCAGTGCTGGAAAAAGTGCGCGGCTGTCAGTCAGAGAAACATGGATGTCCCAGAGGCATTTTGGGTAAAAGAAATTTTTAAAAATAAACTGTACCGATAACATTTGGTGCTGGAGGCATTTTATCAAGACCACTTTCATGGGGAAAAAAAGAAAATTATATTCTAAAATTTATGTCTAAACGTGTCTTGAGGTGCCATAATCATAAATATTCCTTCTCAGCTTCATCCATTTGAGGCCTACCATACATCTGTGAAAGTGTCGCTGCCCACTCACCCCCCCCCCCCCCCCCCCCCCCCCCCCCCCACCTCTGTGATTTTGAATTCCTGGAGCAGCCACTGTAAATCTCCTGGAAAAAACTTCTTCCAACCCAGTGGTTAATCCAGGAATTTGAAATGGAGGGGGCCAAAGAGGGACTTTTACAGATAGAGGGTCTATACTCTCCCTCAGCCACACCATGATTGGTGCTGAGGTATAGAAATTTTATGCTTATGGCACCTCTAGATGGCAGAAAATGGCACTGATAGACTCAAAATTTGAGTAGAATTTTCTTTTTTTCTCATTTTTTTTAAAATTTTAAAAAAAGGTGGGGGGGGGGGTGCCGGGCTGGCTATGCTCCCCTTGAATCCGCCTATGCAACCTGGGACCATTGCGCCTGGAGTGGATCCAGAAATTATCTGATGGGATTCCACACCCAGCTCAGGTTTCATGTCGTCTTTTTTTTTATTCGACCTAGTAAATACAGAAAAA